AAACTGGAAATATGGTAACCTTAGCTTAGCTGAAGCTGAACTAGGAAGGGAGAGACCAGGAACAACTGGCAAACAGCAAAATTATCCTACGAAAGGTTAGTTTAAATAGTGGAATATCAAGACCATTAAAAAAGAAGAGAGGATTGTTAATACCTCTGGAGTAAAGAACAATGTGCTATTAAAGTCAATGGACTCTCTCAACTCCTTGAATAGTAGTACTATAGCTGTTGCATTGTGAAGCAGCAATCCAAGATGAATGTTTTGACTGGAACAGAAGCATCATCTTCCCTGCTTAATACACACACCCCAATTGTGGAGGGCTGATTTGGGGGAAAGGGCATCTGTTATACACAAGAAAAATACAATCCAAGGGTAAAGGTCTTAGCCTTGCTTACTCTGCCATCTTGCTGGTTCCCTCATAATTGCTGGATTATGCTCTTAAAATGACTTGGTACCACTAACCAGGATTTATCTTGCTGTCCAGCAATGACTCAGGTTTACTATAACAAATAAACAGACAAAAGGATGCTGCACACACATTTTAAACCAAACTTGTAGTCCCACTGGGCATTTATTAATAGGCATAGCTATTTACAGTCCCAATAAACGCAAAGCAATATGTTAAAATTCCATGTAATCTGGGGTATACCAGCTTTACATAATATAGTCCATTAGGGCAAAAAAAAAAATGCATCACTCTCAGCATTCATAGGTTGAGATAAAATTACTGAACTCACATGTCCTCAACTGTGATATCTTTCAGGATCTGGCAGTAATCCACATTCCACACTGCCTGGTCGTCCCAAACTTTGGATGCCAGTAGAATTGCACCCAGTACAATTCGCTTCCAGTTTGCTGGACAAATATCTATTTCTGCGTATGTTAAAAGTCTTTCAAGATATACCTGGGAAGACATGTTATAACCAAGACTTAATATATTTTTCTACTTAAATTTAAAAGTATGTTCTAAAAAATAAATACATAATACCTTCTATTTTAAAACAGTGATCTACTCACATCCAGTTTATTTAAAGCTAGGTGGCTTTAAATCTATTCATACAAGACCAGGTAAAAAGTCAGAGGTCCTTCTATGCCTGCGTGCCTTGGCAGAGTAGTATGACTGACACATGCCAGATTCTGCAGCCAATGACACAAGACAGTGCTGTCCAGCCACCTCAGATTTTCAGCCCAAATGACCAAGCACTCATTTACAGCCGAGTCAACTAAAAGAGACCTTTGGTGAAGGCCCAGAGCAAGACTTCAACTCACATCTCTGAATCGGTAGCAAAATGCCTTAACTACTCTTCCACTGCACCATCCACTCAGGCAGTCTATATACATATCCAGATGAAGCTTAACAGATATGACGGCAGATGAAACAACTTAACTAAATAGTATTTCGTGAGACCCAGTAACTACTACTCAAAGGATGGCTTATGTTTCCAGAGTGAAATACAAAAAAAATGCATACCATTAAAAAGATTTTATAAAAGAAATATTATGGAAGAACATGAAAAACCTGCTTAGGCATCAAATTTTACCTTAATTATTTTTTCAAAGCACACACACACATACATGCATGCACTCATACACACAAGAACTTTGCTAATTGTGTTTATTGTAAAGTCTGGGGTCAAGTACTCAATATTTAAACATAAGATCTTTAGCATAAGGCCACCAACTACACAATAAACTCTGTATATTTATTCCAATAATTACACTATGTACACTACGATAACATCTGAGTAATATAATCCCTTGCTACAGTACTGGTTTTGCATTTTGAATTTTTGCTGAAAAGAAAACTCCTGTTTCATGCAACAATTACATGCTAAGATTATACCCTGTAGGGATCAACCTTTCTGGTGCCACTTCAATCCCCTTCTCCTACCCAATATGCTGTTCTGCTTTCTGCTCTCTGCCCAGTGCTGGTCTACTCTTGTGTTCCCTGATCTGCCACATGCCACACACAAAGGCTACATATGCCATTTGTGGCATACAGGCCACAGGGTGGTCACCCCTGGATTAGAAAGATATGTGCGCACTTCACCTACGGTAACAGACACCAAATCCAGCCATACTTTTCAAAATTTAAAAACACAAAAACTTGTAATATAAAAACCCCAGGAAAAAATACAAGAAAATATTAGCCAACTTGTATCTGAAGAGAACACTAAACAACTACAAAACATCCAATGCCAAGTGTAAAATGATCCTCCTCTACTATTGTCAGCTCATCTCCACTAAATCAATCCCCTATCTGGCTGTTCAAATATGTTGCACTGTACTTTCCTTATAATGATTTGAGTAAAACTAAGAATAAGCAAATACTTCCATGAATTTAGTAAGTCCTGCTTCCACTTTAAAAAAAAATGTGATTTTTGCTACCAATGTCACTAGATCGAAGAGCTGACCATATGTCTATAGCTATTTATTACAATTTGTTCTGTACTTCAGGAAGTTCAGAAACTTTATCAGTGGCACATTTTACAAGATACTTGGATGGAAAATACCATATAAAAAGGTGAAAGATTATGTTAATTGTCTGGAAAGCTAATATTCTTTTAAGAACTACAGCAATAGATTGTTGGGATCATCATATACTCCAAACTTCTCTGATCAGATGGCTCGCTGTTCAGGGGATAGAAGTGCTCTTCTGCATGTGACACAGGAGATTTTGCTCATTAATTGGGAATTATCTTTAAAACTTTAAATCTTTGGCTATATGTTTATACTATAGCATTAACAGAAAAAGAAAGAGCGTAAAAACAATGTGTGGAAACAAACAACAAAAACCTTCTGAGGGGCCGAGTATCATCAGTAAACTTAGCTATAGCACCTACCCTCACAGGCAAAACTGCAGATTTTTCATGATTTTTTTGAAAGATAAGAAGCCTTGCAGATTTAAGTGAAACCAGAAGAGGCACAAAAATAGAGAGTTGAAGTTTGTCCTCAGTCTTTAAATCAGAATGTCATGATGGTCCTGGATAAACTACTTCCCCCTTGGTTCTACTTTGCTGTTTGTGACCCACCCTGTTGCATTTTATGTGGCTCAGAAATTCCTAAGTCCATGAGTACAAACTGGAAAAAGCCACAACATATAACTCTCATCGTACTAGGCACCAATGTGACTAATAAAATAATCACCTGCCTATATAGACATTAGCCATCACTCTGCACAGGGGAAGTTCCAGAGGAGATGTGATGGTGCACTCACACCTCCTTTCCATGACGTAGCTCAGCAGCTTGAGTTCCCCGCAGAGCCTGGACCACACCATGAAAGCAGCAGCTGGAAACTTGTTTTCAAGTCCCCAGCACCGCCTCCCCATCCCCTCCTTGCTCAGAAGCCTCTCCCCCTCCTCTCTCATTTCTCCTCCCCCTCTCTACTTGTGCCTCTGGGCACAGGCAGGGGAGACCTACTGAGAGCTGCCAGGACAGTGGCAGCAGCAGCAGTAGGTGGCATTCACCCACTCCATGCCCATGTCCCTGAGGTGTTCTGGGCCAACCTGAAAGTGTAGGGAGGAGGAAACCCATCTGCCACCGTCCCTGGCTGAGCCAAGGTCTCTGCAGAGCCGCAGTAAGAAAGGAGGGTCTGCCCTTCCTGTGCCTTGAGCATAAGCAGAAAGGGCAAGGGGAGGGATTGGAATAGGAGATGCCACTGTGCATGGAGGGGGATGGAGCGGGTGCCAAGAGCAGTAGCAGGGAGGGGGCAGGCAAGGAAATTCTTACCTAATTTAGGGACTTAAAAAAAAAAAAAAAAAAAGCCTTGACTACTGCTTTCACAGTGTGTTCTGCCTGCTCCAGCATGGGAGGCTGGAAGTGGGCAAGTGCAGCTAACTCACAGGGTTGCTTCTCTCATACCCCCTTTTTCAAAATCCTTGATCCACCCACATTTATGGGGGATGCAAAATATTATGAAGTATCATTTGTGCTTATATCAAATTCTTCCTAATAATAGCCCACAAAAGGTTTAGCCAATGAACATGGCTTCAAACTATATGTGAATCTAGCAGGGAAGTCAGCATGTGTTGACTTTTGCACTTTGACTGACGGCTTCTGTTAGCAATTAATTCTGAAAACAAAGAACATTAGCTCGTAAGCAGATGACTGGTTTTCTAATGTCTCCTAACACATCAGCTGCCAGGAAGCCACAAATCCACAGGGATACAAATAAATGCTATTTTCCCCCAACGAGCACAAAAGCTGGCATTACATCTGTCCCTGCAGAGGCATGCTAATCTGTCAAAGAAAAATGCATAAAAAACCATGATCATAAGTTCAATAGTGTTTGTTGCTGTTAGAGATACAGAAAGAAGCAATTTAAGAGTTGAAAATTACAGGTCATTTTAGGTTATTTTAAGAGAATAAAATGCAGCACCTTAAAATTATACAATTAAATGTATAATAAATACAACACAAGGGATCAAAGAGATGTAGATAGAAAGGCAGGAACAACTAAACAGGCAATAGCTAACCAGAAGAATAATTTTCATTGTAGTCAACCCAAGATAGGATGAAATGATTTCTAAAAAGAAAGTAGTACGCAAGTGCACATGCCAAATATAGCCACAGCCCACATCATACAATAGCACCAGTTTAAAATCTATCTGCCATTTTATGGATAGCCTGTATAAGACAGATGTTATACAATCACAACTGTTCAGGCCAGCAAGCAAATTCATTATTTATTATGAATTAGCCACTATCAACAGACATGCCCTACTGCAAGCCAGGCTAAAGAGGAGAGATACTTTCAGGAAATATTCAAATTAATACACTGGAAGAAAAATAAGCCAAAACATGGCTGTTCAGTGATAGGGAAGAACTTACGAAAGTTATGCCAAAGAGAACTAGGTCCAAATTCCACTCTGGTGTAAAATGGGGTAACACTGCTGTACTTAATGGACTTATACTTGCTTTGTACTACAGTTTGCATCTACAACACAGTAGATAATGAATTTGCAATGAGATGTAAGAGCAAATTCAACCAATTCCATTTTTATATACAAAGTCATACGATATCATACTGAGCCAGGAAGCAATAGTTCCTATCTAGGTAATTTAAGTTTGAACACACTTAAAAACTGCATTTATTTCTGGGCCTACCTTAACAGAAACATTTTAACTAACTGAAGGGAGTTGAAAGACAAGCAAGAAATATGACTGACACCTTGGCAGACATGAAAGGACGAGTATACTTTAATCTTAAATTTCTAAACACTAGGGAGGAAGAAGAATTATTTAGACCAGAAACAACAGGCAAGCCCATGGCAGATACTAATATAATTCGATAATTGGGACCCAAGGAATTTTATGCCCTATCCTAAGGATCACATATCTTGCCATGTCAGACATGTATGTCAGGCTGCATGCCATTAGCTCACCGGCTGCAGGGTACACTGGGCCTAGTGTATATGCTCAGGCCCTTCCTTTGGCCTTTACCTGATTAGCACTTCAAACTGCGGCAGCTGTACCTGATACCCTTCAGCCTGGCTCCTGCCTGCTTGTCTGCTCCAGCTGACCCTGTTTGGGTGTCATGGGTTCCCTGGCTCCTGGCACTGCCTGGACTACAGATGTGGACCTTGCTTACTGACTGGGAATTTCACTTTGAAACCTTCTCTCTGGTTCTACCTTCTCATGAAGCCTCATCCTCTGGCCTGGCTCTACACCCACACTCCTCAAAATTGCCTGTGACCAAGGAGTACAAGGCTTTGACCAAAACCCCCAATATTGAGACAAGAGTGCTTGCAAAAGATGTGCTAACTCTTCTTTCTCTGGTTTCAAATATTGTATCACTAGATAAAGAGAAACCTTTATAAATTTCACAGACATTAGGGCTGGAAGGGACCTCGCGAGATCATCAGGTTCAGCCCCCTCCCTAAAGGGCAAGAAGTCAATTGGGGT